AAAGGAAAGGAAAGGAAAGGAAAGGAAAGGAAAGGAAAGGAAAGGAAAGGAAAGGCCTTCTTTATAGACTGTGAAAATGCTAAAGATACAATATATATTGATTTTAGTATAAAATTTGACCAAATATCCTAAGATACGCTAGACAGTCAAATGTTGGATGGCATGACCATTATGTGGATCCCCAGCTGGCTGCAAAACTATACTTCTTTTCAACAGTTTCTGTAAGTGAGGTACAGGTAGTCCCCAGGTTAAGTACACTCAGGTTACAGATGACCCATAGTTAAGAACAGAGCCTACTGTAGCAAAATTCCAGTTAAATACACAATGACTTGAGTTAAATACACAATGGTTCAAGTTCATTACGCAATACTACTTATACAGTATTATACAATACTGTTCTGGCTTACGTACAAATTCAACTTAAAGACAGACCTTGGGAATGGAACTCATTATTAAACTGGGGACTACCTTTACTGAGTCAGATGCTGCAAGCTTTGGCTCTGGGCCCCATATTCTTCAACTTTTAAAATTAATTTTGATGAAGAGATAGAAGAAATGTTTGTCAAATTTGCAGATGACACAAAATTGTGTGAGATAACTCATATCCTAGACATAAAATTTAAAATTATCTTGATAGGCTAGACTGCTGGTAACAGAATGAAAGTAAACAGTTTTTCTGTTTCTGAGGAAACAGAAATCAAATACAGAGTTACAGGAGGAGGGATACCTGTCTTGGCAAATATGAGTTAGTACTGCAATGCAGTTTCCAATTTTTTTTGACAATTTTCTAATTTCCAAATCACAATAAGTAAGTTCCATTTTACTCTGTATAGGATAGATCCGGTCTTCAATGTAGTATTCCATTCCGGTCACAACATTTCAAGAAAAATTTGAACTTTTCAGAGAAGGGCAATGAAAATAATTAGCAGATTAGAAATTAAATTCTATGAAGAAGTGGGAATGTTTACCCTTGGAAAAAAAAGGTGGAAGACATAGCAATCTTAAAATACAAGACAAGATTTTCACAGAAAAAACTGAAGACCCATTTTCTATCATTCTAGAATGCAGGATACGGCATAATATACTGTATCTATGTTACAGGATGGCAGATTCCAGCTGAATTGGGTGGGGGAGCCAAACCTTTAACAATAAGAAAAATACAGTAGTGGAACCAATTATCCAGAGAGATGGTGGGCTCTCCCTCACCGGATGTGTTTAAGCGGAGACTAGGCATCTTTCTGTCAGTGATGTTTTAATTTGGATTCCTGCAGGGAGTTAACCTAAATGGTCTCATTCATGATTCTGTACAAGCTTAAACCTATAATCAAAACTACAGTATACATACTCCTAGAATTTTGAGATTAGGACTTTGGAACAACTGTGTATTTTTCTAAGATGTTCTAGTCCTATAAAATGCTGGATCAACTATGAAATGGTTCAACAAAGCACCACTAAGGACAAAGTACGCACAGCTTGTTAATAATTTATCTTGTGCAAGTCCAATTTTCTAATAAGGTTTTTTTCAAGAATAAAATTAAAATTAGTAGCTTTAAGTTACAATTCCTAACACATTGTTTTGCAATAGAAACAACACCAAATTTAGTATGACTCACTTCTTATATGTTGCATGCTAATTGTTCACCTTTGTAAATACCAATTAACATTCATACTCATAACAGCTCCTCTCCCAGGCTTTAACACAACCCTTCAAGCCATTAGTGATTAAATTTGTTTTTAAAACCACATGCTCTATATCAAGGTTTATAACCCTGAAAATGTCTGGGTGACAAAGTTAGACAGATCTTATTAAATGCACAAAGTTTGTAATATGTTACCACTTCTTCCATAATGTATTTGTTAGCTTTTCATAGAAATTGTTGGATAACCCTGGAAAGAGAAAAGCTATGTTCTAAGGTTTCAGATGGATAAAAGTAGCCAATATAAATAAATCTGGATAACACAAATATCTATAAAACCAGTTTTTATCATGAGGACACTACTTAAAATTAAATACATGTTTTATACGTGTAGTATATACAAGTCCAATCATAGATTGAAATATCAGGTGACAGGTTATACTTTAGGGGTGACTAACTGAAATTGTGTCTATCATAAATCCCACTGCTCTCAATAGACAAACACCAATGGTAACTAAGTTGGGATCCAGCCTAAGGTTTTTTTCAGAATTCAGCCTTGTAATTCTAAAGTAGTCTAACCAACATGATGCCTTTCAGCCCCCCTTTCCAAAAATGGCTGGGAACACTAGGAACTGTATCTGACATTACCTGAAGTTGGGAAATGGTATTCTAAAGTGACTCAGTCCACAGTAATAAATTAATTTTGTATGTTAAAAAAGAAAAGAAAAAAAAATTCAGATGATGACACTCCACTCCACTAGTTCAAATGAAGGAAATATCTGAATAACGTTAAGAACTAAAAAGGCAACTTTCGTTCATTTGAGTTGCAGTATGAAACTATAAAAAAGCCAGCTATGAAATTCAAATGCAGACAAGCCAATTAGATGAATTCTTGGACTGGACTTCTTGGACTCAAGACCACTTTTGACTTTACATAATAACAACACTGGCTTCAGTTACATCAATGTTTACATCATTGTATGTTCAAAGGGTAAAGTACAGGACTGTGTTCCTAAATGGGCAGGAGACTCATCAGGGACTACAGCTGGTTTGGGATGTATAATTCCATTTCTATGAATTTCAGAACATGTGCCTATTTGTACAATGCCATCTAGCTACTAAGGAAAATGAAAAAAGAAATGTTGTTTACTCTATTGTACATTTTCTTCACTAAGATTTAAAATGGATTGTGTGTCTGCCTTTCATTTACTGGTATAACACCAACAGCAAGCACAGTTGTTGCCAAAATTTACCTTGGTCTCAGTATTACAAAACAGAAAGAAGATACAGTAGCTTCATTTTGACAATGCACCACCGCTGCAGAGAAAAAAGAACTGATGGAAAAGTGCTCAACAAGTGAATGTTTTTCTGCAGCTGTGTTTTTATATTTATTTTTAGTTGATTTTTTAACAATTATACATATTTTTATTTATTTTAAAGTTGTAGGCCACCCAGAGTCATGTATGTGAGATGGGTGACCATATAAATCAAACAAATAAATAAATATCTTTAGAGATGTTTTATTGGTTGGGAAGAAGAGACATGAAAATAAATGATCACTTCCATTCTCTACACCAGTGGTCCTCAATCGTGGCAGCTTGAAAGTGGTTTGGGGTTACCTCACCCCCTCTCCCGACGCAACACTCGCGGGGGGGGCG